CTCTGTTTCAAAATTCTACTGGCTTTTCAAAGTCAATGTTTCCAAACCAACTTGTCTTCCCTGACTGTCGTCTTAGCCCTAATCCCAAAAAACTTGATTTTCCTGGTTAAATGGCCCTTCTCTTGCTTAATGATTTCTCCTTCCTTCAGTTTTATGGAGGGAAGCCTTGGGAAGATCTCCGCCTCCTTCCTTGGGCTGCCTGCCTTCCTTGGCTGGTGGATCCCCTCTTAGTCCAAGCTGGTTTCATCTATATCATGTCTCTCCTTTACCTCTCACCAATAGCGATATATTTCACATTGTTATCTTTTTCCTAGAATAAAAATTCTATGTTAATTTTAGTTTTTAATTTGTGTTTACCATTAATGAACATCAAAGAATAATGGACTTTTGGACTTGGACTGGGAGTGAGTGTGTGTGAGTGTACATTCAAATAGCAACCCTAAAGCTTTTGCTGTTGTTGCAAAGGTTTGATGCTGATGCTGAATAGATAGTTCATTATATGGCCTTGACAGCCCTTATAAGGACACAGAGGAGAAATGTCTATCCTGATAAGTAGTTATTCCTCCCCAGAACACCTAAGGTTGCACAGGGACACCGTATACAACCTCTGCAGACCGCATGCCTCCTCAACCTGAGCTGGTTTCCTTCCTTCCTTTGAATCTAGGAAGCTCAGATAGAAACAAATAACATATTCTTGGTTTTTTACTTTTCTCTTGATTTAATCTTATTTCTCTTGCACGTATTCCCTTTCTGATTATTTCTTCCTTTATTCTCACATTGTAGTCTGCTCTTTTTATTTTTGCTAGCTGCCTTAAGTTGTTTTGTTTTGTCGTTGTTGTTGTCATGAGGCAAAATACGTAAGCGAGCAATGAAAGATTCACTTCTTATCCGGACTGTTTTCTGTGTCTTTCACACCATGCAAACTTTGGGAGTTTTCTCTACTGCCCCTTCTTTAATAACACTGGCTGAGGTTTTAGCATGGCCTCTCCTCTCTGCTGCTGTCTCCTCCACATGGGGTGTGTATTAGTCAGAGCTCTACAGAAGAAGAGAGCCAGTAGGGTACATACATGTACAGAAAGAGATTTGTTATGCAGGTGCAGCTCCTGCCATCATGGAGGCGGAGAAGTCCCGTGATCTGGTCTCTGCAGGTTGGCGGCCCAGGAAAGCCCACAGTTTCCTTCCAGCCCAGGCCCACTGACCCCACAGCACTGAGCCAAGGGTGTGGTCCCAGTCTGAGTCCAGAAGTCCAAGAACTGGGAGCAGTGATATGAGGATAGGAGAAGATGGATGTCCCAGCTCAAGAGGAAAGAAAGCTCGCTCTTCCTCTGCCTGTGTTCAATCCAGGATCTCCACAGATAGGTTGATGCCCACAGACAGGGGTGGGGCAGGTCATCTTTACTCAGTCTACAGAGTCAAATGCTGATCTCTGCGAAATGCCCTGAAACACCTCAGAAATCATGGTTTACCCATGACCTGGGCATTAACCCAGTCAAATGGACACATAAAATTTACTTCCACCAGATGTCTTCCACCACCTCTACCTCTTCGAATCAAATTCCAGTTCAAGCCATACCTTAAACTAAAGGCAAGAGTTAAGGGGTGGTTTAGTTATACTCTGTGAAAACAAGCATAGGCTACCACAGTTGCTCTTAGTATTTTATTTGTTGTGTGATCATTAGTATTTTCTTTCAAGAAATGTGGAATACCATATTTAGGGATAAGTTTTAGCAAATTGGAATACTATACTAGTGAAAAAGAGACTCCAGGCATATTCACAGATTTACCACTAATTTTCTGTGATATTTTGGAGCCATTAATTTCTCCCTTCTGAACTTATCTTCATCAACATTTGAATGTTTTTTTGGTTTTCTTTTTCTTGGAAGATTCTCGGGGAAAAATCTCAGAATCTGTAGGCCAGTGACCTACGTGTAGTCAACAGGGACACAGTTTGGGTTGGCTGGGTTGTGCTTCCCGTGCTCAGTCTCTCTGAATGCCGACACTTTCCAGTATGAACATCACCACAATGGTGACACATCCCACAAGAATACCAACGCACAATATTAGTGCACAGACACAGTACCCAGAGTAGACATTTTTGATACAATTTGAAATACATTATTTTCAGAATAAAGAAAAATTAGAGAGTCACTGTAGAAGAGCCTCTTTTCAGTTCCTCAGATGCATGGGTGTCCGGGCTGGCTTTTTTGCTTGTATTTTTAAAACAGTGTGGCATTAAGAATGCATATGGAGATGGGATTTGGGACCCTTGGATTTTGTGCCTTAGGTAAACCACTGAATCTTTCTGGGTCTGAGCGTTCCATTCCACGAAATGTGTTTTCTTCCATCTCGAAAAGGCTGCTTCTGAGAAACCAAAATAATCCAAAGAGAAATGACCATTATTAGTTGTCCAGAGCAGCAGAGACAGAGCCAGGAGCGGTCTAGTGGTCTGGTGCCAGTACAGAGGGGGCTTCCAGTGTCCCTTCTGCTGGTAGCAGTGTTCTTAGCAGGTTTGGCAGTGATTTAGGTCATATTATATCCATGTCCCAAGTCTAGTTCTCCAGGTCTTTGGGCAATTTCAAGATATATATTTTCTGGTATAATCAGCTAAAATCTATTTCCATTCCCTGAGACAGAACTCTACCTGATACAGTTTTTGTGGTCAACAATCTACGGAAATTTAGAAGAAAATTAGACCAGGGATGCACTGGGCATTTAATGTTTGAAGCTGTGGCATATCCTAGGGTTTGCAGATAATAACACTAACATTGCTACCACTCATAAAAATATCTTTGAGTGCTTATTAAGCACTCAATCTTAAGATCTGTATTGAGACTTTATACACATTATTTCCTATAATTCAGATGATATAGGAATTTGAATCTAGTGAAATTGATGGCTTATAAATTAGTGCATGATGAAGATGATGATGAAGATGATATGATCAGCATCATGGTCACAGTGATGTCTGGGGTTAGGAGAATCATAAAGGCCATATATTATGGAGTCTGAAGTACTCCTATTCCTATTGACTCTATTGGCAATAATCCCAACCGAACAGTTAAAGCCCCTTTACTTTTATTAAGAGAGACAGGATTTAAAGTACCCATTGATTATAGGGATAATCTCTAAGTCTCTTGGAATTAATCTCAATTTAGTGGTCTGTCCCTTGGCAAAACCTCCAATTTTTCAGTTCTATTGATTTTAGTTGTTAGTTGTTAATATCTACGAGCTGGTTCATGTTTAGACCAAAGGAACCATTTTGAACGAGGACAGGAGCTTGGATTCAGCACACCAGGATGATCTTTGAGGATTTACCCACTGGGAGGAAAGGCATTCAGGCTCACTTCTGAGTGAAAACAGGAGCTGTCAGACTAGCCCAATTTCAATGACAATTTTTGTGCTATTGAAAAGAACAAAGAATAGCTTACTTTTAAAAAGACTGATAAAAATGAACAAATAATAATGTACTATTAGAAGTAATGAAAATATGTCAAATAAAATAATTGGTAACACAAACACTAACAACCAATATTAAAGGTCACAAGACTAAAGAAAAATAAAATATTCCCCATCCTAAAATGGGGAGGTGTGAACTAGGGGCTTTTTAATTGCACATCCCAGAGAGAAGATTAAGATGAGGTATAACCAGCAAAGAGCAGGTTCTGCCTTCCCCACCCAGCTGTATGCAAGCCATCACCCCATTCCCTTTCCAAAGTTTCCATCTTTTTTCCAAATGTGAGGGGGACTATGTGAAACTAGCATTACCCCATCCAAATTGCCTCTACAAGAGTCACATTTAAGAATTCAACATGGACTGTGCTTGTTTGTTTGTGTTGTTTGCTGCTGTAGCTTCTGTGCTTACAAGGGTTACAATGCATAGTAAGCCCTAAATTTTGGTGAATGAATGTTCTTCAAACAAAAACCTAACAAAATAATTTTTTTTTAAGAAACTAGGCTCTGGCCATTCAAAAATGACTGAAGAACAGATATTACCTTTTTGAAGTATGTGAAAATCTGATTAAACTGCTCCACTATTTTGGGGAAGGTGTACTGTTGTACACTAAATCATAACCCAACACGTGATATTTCAGAGGTGGAAAAATCACATTATACAATTTGTGTAGTATTAAGTACACTTGCTTCTCTTCCATCTCTTAGGAGATTAGTTTTTCTTTCTCATCTCCTCTTCTTCCTCCTAGTCCTCCTAGTTCTCCTCCCTTTTCTCCTCTTTCTCTCCCCTTTCTCTCCCCTTTCTCTCCCCTTTCTCTCCCTCCTCTTTGTCTGTCGTCTTCATCATCTTCCACCAAACACTGACAGATAAGCAGAGCCTATTCCGAAGAAACTATTGAACAATAAAACAGGTAATGATGTAATCCCAGCACTTTGGGAGGCTGAGTCGGGCGGATCACCTGAGGTCAGGAGTTTGCCACCCGCCTGACTAACATGGTGAAACCCCGTCTCTGATAAATACAAAAAAGCCGAGCATGGCAACACATGCCTGTGATCCAAGCTACTTGGGAGGCTGAGACAGGAGAATCACTTGTACCCGGCAGGCAGATGTAGCAGTGAGCAGAGATCGCACCATTGCACTCCAGCCTGGGCAACAAGAGTGAAACTCCATCTCAAAATAAAAAAATAAATAAAAATAAAATAAACAGATAATGAATTCAGTGCAGCTCTGTAAGGCCTCAAGTTCTTGAGTTTTAATGTTGATGGAAACTAGGAAAAAAGTTCTGATCCAAATATTTTCTAAGACTATATATATACACACACACACACACACACACACACACACATGTGTATGTTTAGAGAGAGAGAGAGAGGCACATCTTTGAAGATAAGCAAAAGGAATGACTGCCAGTCCCACATCTGTGCCCAATACCCCATCTTTCCATGCCCCTCTTTCATAAGAGATCTTATACATATAAAACTGGTTGGTCAAGTTCTCTTCAGTTGAAACAAGTTTAGCTTAAATATAAAACCAGAATAACTTTCAAGTGAATATGTCTCTTTTTTGAAGAGATAATACATTCATAGACTTAAATAAAATTTATTGATTTAGAATATGAGAATATTCAATAATAATTTGATACTAAAATTTAAACTATCAAGGAAGTTATTTTAGTTAAGATTAAGGCACTTAGTTTGATTTCAACAATATTCTAAAAACATAACCTTTTTTTGCTAGGTATTGATTTTTTTTTTTTTTTTTGAGATGGAGTCTGGCTCTGTCGCCCAGGCTGGAGTGCAGTGGTGCGATCTCGGCTCACTGCAAGCTCTGCCTCCCAGGTTCACGCCATTCTCCTGCCTCAGCCTCCCCAGTAGCTGGGACTACAGGTGACCGCCACCTCGCCCGGCTAACTTTTTGTATTTTTAGTAGAGACAGGGTTTCACCGTTTTAGCCAGGATGGTCTCGATCTCCTGACCTCGTGATCCACCCACTTCGGCCTCTCAAAGTACTGGAATTACAGCCATGAGCCACCGCGCCCAGCTAGGTATTGATTTTTATATAACCATATAAGCTTACAGGTAGTAGAGTTTCTTCTAAAATTTTCCAATAAGCATATTTTGTTTTTTACTTGAAAGAGGCTTTCCCCAATATAGTGACCTTTTTTCATTATACATAGAGATGATGACACCTGATAAATGATACGCTGATTAACAATAAAGAAATTTGAATAAGCAGAAAGTTAATGATTGTTACCCAAAGTGAATTAGGGTTCCTAAAGAGTTTTCCAAATTTGTTTTTTACATTTGTTACTAAAATCAAACATCTGGCCGGTGTGGTAGCTCACGCCTGTAATCCCATCACTGTGGGAGGCCAAGGCAGGCAGATCACCTGAGGTCAGGAGTTCGAGACCAGCCTGGCCAACATGGTGAAACCCCATCTCTACTAAAAGTACAAAAAAAATTAGCCAGACGTGGTGGCGGGCACCTGTAATCCCAGCTACTTGGGAGGCTGAGGCAGGAGAATTGCTCGAACCCAGGAGGTGGAGGTTACAGTGAGCTGAGACCGTGCCATTGTGGTCCAGCCTGGACAACAAAAACGAAACTTTGTCTCAAAAATAAATAAAATATAATAATAATAATAATAAAATCAAACATCTACCCTCACAACGCAAGTTTTGAGTGATGATTTGCACGAAGAAATGTGTAATATCCTGTTTGGAGCCCTACTCTCATGGTTGGGGTGGTGAATTACAATATAATTAGGCAGCCTGCTTAATGATCAATTGGATTATTTTGTTTGCTGCCAATTTAAGTAATTAGAGAGTTGCAATGATCACTCCAATTAAAGTGATTGCTTTACGGCACAACCTTGCCTTTTTTACCTGTGATATTTAGAAGAGAGAAAAATGTTATTCAGCAGAGGCCTCCCTGGACAGGTTAGGCTCAAAGCTCTTCTGCGCAGTCATCTGTGCCTGGTACTTGTCATGCTCACTGCAGAGGCTGGAGGTGCTCGGCATTCTCCTGCCTGGACGTGTTAGTTCCTCCTCTACTTAGGCATTCTCCACATTCCTCCTTTCACACTCTGGAGTTCTATCCTGCAAGCCAGCCTGCTTGTGTATTCTGTAGAGACCAAAACCTTCCCTCCACGGGAGGAAGGGCAATATTTATCATGCTTCAGTGGTGGCTGGAGAGGTCGAGAAACTTGCACAGACACAACATAAAACTGCGGGTAGCAAATGTGAATGGTGAGCCACCGTCAGAAGCAATTACAAAGAGGGATTACGTTGCAAACTCTGACATTAAAACCTGTGTAAATAATATATCCAATCTGATGGGGGCCAGGGCAACTCCCTGCCAGTTCTTGGGTCTGTGCTTCCATTTTCTCTCAGCCTCTCTGGTCCTTTCATAAAGGGAAGGCTCCCTGGGTCCCCTGGCTGCACAGGTTCTTGAGGAGTGGTTGCACTGCCTGGCTTGGGTCTTTCCTTGGCCAGTGGCACCCTGTGTTTTGTGCAGAACTGACCAACTCTGCATTAACCTTCTTCACCCTCTTTTTGAAGTGGCAGATCCTCTGACTCAGGCCTCACAAACTCTCTCACTAAAGGAGTATTTTCCTTCTAGCTTTTTCCCCTGGACTTTGACTGTGGAACGGGACAGAAGGAAAGACATAGTTCTATACTCTCAATTTCTCTACAGAAATCTGAAAATGGAGCTTCCTGCAAAGAGAAGCCTGGGGCTCCATCAGCTGCCTCTTGTGGCACAGCCTCGAGTTCGGCTCCGGGCTCAGTTCAGAGTGTGTCTGCCATACATCAGGAACCCTACGTAGTGTCAGGAGCTTGCTGTCATGTCACCCACTTACCCATACCGCTGCATGAGCTCACAGGTTTATCTGCATTTGCAGGTGAGGAAACTAAGGCTCTCAGGGCTGGATAGCTCCATGGCATGTAGCCATGAAGTAAGCGGGGACAATGAGAAATCTGACTGATGACTCTCTGGCTGTGTCAGTGCATGGATATGCTCTTTTAAAGAAGACGTGGACTTTGCCAGGCACTTACTTAACTAAAGTAGAATTGGTGATAGGATTAGTATTAACATGAACCCTGAGAGGCAAAGCAGGGATGGAGGAAGCGTGATTGCTCCTCGGAACTCTGAGATACTCGTGTCTTGGATTCTTAAAGTTGAAGCAGACACAGAAGAGCCTCTGTTTGGCATAACTTTAGTGACTTAACTAATTATTTGCTGTAATATATCCATAAGGTATCTATAAATTAATGAAGCTTAATTAACTTACAGTAATTTAAATGCCAAATGAATATTTGATTGGTGAGATTTTATTGCTATGAGAATTCAACTAGGACATTAAGAGAAGCAAATTACATTAATTTATAAATACACTTTAGATCATAATAATCTATAGTAAATCATAATGCTAACTTCAGAAGCAGTTGAAAGGGTTTTTTTCCAAAGATAAAATTACAAATATGAATACTCTTACAATTCCTGGAACATATTATATACTATATAAACATTCACCTAAAAATGTAGCTATATTAGCACAGTGCAATTCTAATGAGTCTAATACCAAAAGAGGCAGGTAACAAGTATGTAAGTCTACTAAACTCTGTCATGGGGTGGATTATTGATGGTTGCTCAAGACGTAACAGAAATGTGATTTTTTTGAAATGTGAAGTACATTCATTACAAGGGGATTTCTTACATGTTATAAACCAGTTTTATAAAAAGATTTAGTAATGCATTTCTAAATTCTGTAAGCCAGGAAACACCACTTGTCTTTAAACTTTAGGTAGAATTTCCTCTGCAAACCATTTCAGCTTTTTTATCTTGCCTGTGTTGCTTTTCATTTACTGTATATTGATGAAGATTCATCTATTTGTATTTATGAGAACTGAGCCTGTAAATCTTAGGAACTGAAGGAAAGCCTTTCATTTTAAATTTTAGTTATTTAATTTTAACTGCTGATTTAGTAGATAACAATTCAGAGTAAGAGAAAATTAATGGGTTTATACATTTAAGCTCTATTTAATATTGTGCACAATATTTTAATATTATATAAACAAAAGTAAATCACTGGTAAAGCACACATCTTTTACTTCCTAAAAATGTGATGTAATTCCATCAACCATATTCTAAGTACCACAAGATTAAAGAACAATAAACAACTTGCACCACTCTATGCAAAACTAGAATATAATTATTCATGCTTTTTCCTTTTATAATAAAGGCAGAATCGTTATGAATACATGTGTTATAGTCCCTTGAAATGTCCAACAGTGAAATGGGGCTGACCTTTAGAAAGATTGAGGTGGGGACTCCGGGGTGCCTGTGAGTGATGTTCCTGGATCCTCAGCTTATGAGAACGTAATACACATAAATGAGTCCAGTGTGTGTTTGTAGACTGATGGACTCATGATTTTGTTACCTTTTGGAGTAACATTTAAAATCACCGAATTCTCCCCTGTAAAGAAGGAAATTCTATTAAACGAGCTGTGCATTTTTCTAATATTATCTAATTTGCTAATGCATAATTTGCCCAATACATTAATCTAGTTAAATAACGATATCCTATTTTGAAACTGAATAATAACCATGAGTTATATTTATTGACACGTATTTCATTTCTGTTTTTTTATTTGTTCGGGAAACATTTGTTGACTGTAGCAGGCAATGGCCTGGGTGCTGAGAATGTACTAAAAAGAATAGATAGAGTCTCACTTTCCAAAAATTTACATTCTGCATAGAATGTAATAAGGGAATATGTCTATCTCAGAATTTAATTTCTAACTCATATAATGCAGCTCGAAGATATTGGTCTATTTATCTTAGATTTCCCACGCATTTTCTTTTAGTACACCTCTGGAGGGGACATATTCTTGTTGGGAAATGTCTGTTTACTTTCATAATTTTTACTTCTTAACACTTTGAAGAAGATGTTTATTAACCTTTAACAGCATGATTAGAGGCTATTTTCTTATATTTAAAACAAAACCTTAAATAGATTCTGATCATTTTATTAGCTACTTGCTCTCTGGAAAGAAAATGTAATGACTGAAGAATAACTCTAAGAGGTACAGAGTAGACCTGATTAGTGTAATAAATAACCTTGTCAGAAACATACTCGTACTTTAACAGAAGTTAGTAGAACAGAAGAAATACTGCAAGGATTATGGAGAGAGGTTTAAGGAAAGAGATTACTGTTAATTTCAACATCAAGGACAAGAGTTATATATTTCATGATTTTGCAAATCCAGAAATTATATGAATCAGTCCTCAGATTACGTTTATAAAGATGACAGCTTCACAACCCCTAATCCTGACAGTTGAGAAAATAATTGTAGGGGCATAAGAAACAACTTGACTCAATGTAATATTCTATTTAATAAAATAAAATGAAGTTTTACATATTTGTATAATTGTCTTCACATTTATGAATTGCAGATATCGTATCTCATTCATTTTTGTCCCTAGCTCAATGTTAGGGAGGGGTGGAGAGGTAGGTTTTGTTGTGTTGTCGTTATTGTTTTAAAATTACTGTGGATTCACATAATGATGATAAAGATATGATTATTGACTTCAGAAAGCACACGCAGCTGAGATGCTAAAACGCAAATAAATGGGAATTTGCATAAATATAAGACATAAATGGAATGGTATATAAATACAGGATTCAAATGACTAAGAAATAGAATGTTACGGCCGGGCGCGGTGGCTCAAGCCTGTAATCCCAGCACTTTGGGAGGCCGAGACGGGCGGATCACGAGGTCAGGAATCGAGACCATCCTGGCTAACACGGTGAAACCCCGTCTCTATTAAGAAATACAAAAAACTAGCCGGGCGAGGTGGCGGCGCCTGTAGTCCCAGCTACTCGGGAGGCTGAGGCAGGAGAATGGCGTAAACCCAGGAGGCGGAGCTTGCAGTGAGCTGAGATCCGGCCACTGCACTCCAGCCTGGGTGACAGAGCGAGCCTCCATCTCAAAAAAAAAAAAAAAAAAAAAAAAAAGAAATAGAATGTTACTTAAATATGAGATTCAGGTAACTGAGATCTCTTTATTCATAGAGGAGACATCACAAGAAGTGCATAAACTTGATTCTGCACATGTACTTCAGATGCAATGCGACTAGAGATAAGAATACAGTAAGGTTCTGGTGACAGTGAAAGCAGAAAGGTAGAAGTGATAAAGGACATAACAGTGATTCCAGGAAAAAATCAAGTTACAGGTACCATATACAGGGCCAGTAAGATGCAGGGCATATTAATATCCACAGGCATATGTGCTACTATCCACAGGTATGTGTACTCTATACAGGAAGAACAACATACAAGGATAAAAAGAGAGACTAAAGGGAAAACAACAGCACAAACAATAGCAGTTTTTGTTTTTCTTTCTGAATGTCAATAGATACTGAAATAACCTCAAAGTTATAGAAAAACTT